AGCCCATCACTCTATGGGTGATAGCGAGAGGTGCGCCTGTGAGTGATCCCCGTCTCTTACAGCAGCGTCTTGAATTCCCCTTGGAACTCGGTCCCTTGGTCTGTGAGGACTTCTGCACAAGCCCCAAATCGGCAGATCACCTGTTCCTTGAATGCCGCTGCCACCTGCCTGGAGCTCTTGCTCGAGATTGCCCTCACCTCCAGCCACTTGCTCACATGCTCCACCATGAGCACTATGTATCGCTTACCCCCCCGGCTCAAGGGCAGTTCCCCGGCCAGATCCAAGGACCACCTGAAGCCTAGGCCTCGAATGGGCAGGGACTGCAGCTCGGCCTTAGCTTGGCTGAGGTTTGCCCTGCTCCTCTGGCATGCTTCACAGCCCTCCACCCAGCCCTTTACTTGCCTCCGCATTCCTTCCCACCACCACCCTGTCTTCAGCAGCTGCACTGTCCTCTCATGTCCGTAGTGCCCCAGCTTTGTGTGCACCTCTTTGATCACTGCTTCCCTGTCGCTCGGTGCTGGCACCAACTTCCAACCGTCCTCGGTTTGGATCTGCAGCTGCTGCTGATACCATCTATAGTGGTGCCCCCTGGCCCTTACTCTCTACGTCATTTCCTCATCTTCCTTTGTCTCCCCTTTCACCCACCGCATGGCTTGCTCGTCTTCCCAGATGTCTGCCGGCTCCTTGCCCCCCTTTCCCCCTCCCGCTTCTACCTGTCTGGCCAGCAGTGTTAAGGTCACGCTCGGTTCCAGCTGTGGGGGGTTTCGGGAGAGGCCATCCACGTGTTGTAGAGTCTTCCCAGGCCGGTGCTTGATCTTGAAATCGTATTCCTGCAACTTCATCGCCCACCGTGCGTTCCTGCCTGTCAGTCCTGGCGTCGTCATCAGCCATGTCAATGGCTGGTGATCCGTCACCAGGGTGAACTCCCGTCCCTGCAGGTACACTCTGAAATGTCCCACCGCCCATACTGCCGCTAGTCCCTCCCCTATGTATGAGCTGTATTGCGCCTCGGCCGAGTTGCAGCTCCTGCTTGCGTAGGCTACCACCTTCTCCTCCCCTTCCACCTCTTGGCAGAGTATCCCTCCCATTCCTTGGCTGCTCCAGTCAGTGTAGAGGGTAAATGGCTGGTCCGCTACCGGCAGCCGTAACACGGTTGCTGTCTTTACTGCTGTCATAAGGTCCTGCAGGGCTCCCTTTTGAGCCTCCCCCCATTCCCACGCCCTATCCTCCCTCAGCAGCCCATTCAACGCTGTTGCTCTTTTGCTGAAGTTGGGCACGAACCTCCTGTAGTAGCTAAGGAAGCCTAACACCGCCCTCAGCCCTGACTTGTCCCTTGGCTCTCTCAGCCTGTCCAATACCTCTACCTTAGCCTGCTGGATCCCAATCTGTCCTCCCTTCACCTCGTATCACAGGTACTGCATTGTCTCCTCACCCCACCTGCACTTCTTGGGGTGACATGTGAGTCCTGCTGCTTCTATTGCCGCCAGTGTCCTCTCCACATCTCGTAAGTGCTGCTGCTCGGTGGCATGCCGCACACTCCACCTCCCTCAGCACCGCATCCATAACCCGCTGAAATACTGCCGATGCGTTCCTCAGCCCGAATGGCATGTACAGCCATTCGTACAGCCCATCCGGCCCATGGAAGGCCGTCTTCTTGATGTCCTCCTCCCTGATTTTGATTTGGTTGAACCCCTGCCGCAAGTCCAGCGTGGTGAAGAAGACCCCATCTGCCAGCTTGTCAAATATCTCTTCCGCCATGGGCATGGGATACCTGTCCGCTACTGTGATCTTGTTGAGCGCACGGTAATCCCCGCACATCCTTCTGCTCAGGACCTTCCCCGCTAGGTCCTTCCTTGCCGCTACCACTGTGGGCGTGGCATATTCTGACTCCGACCGCCTAATCAACCCGGCCTCCAACAGCTCCTTGATTTTCTCCTTGCAGACTTCCTCATCCCCGTGCGGCATCTTCCTCCTCCGGTGGAACACAGGCTCCGCACTGCTCAGTTTCAGCTCCATCTCCTTCGCCTTGCACCTTCCCAACTCCTGCGGGTTGAAGGCGAAGCACTGTCGGTGTTTGGTCAGCAGCTGCAGCATAGCTTCCTTCCCTTCCCTACTCATCGCCTCCCCTACCTTCCACGCCTCTTCCTCCTGCTCCTGGCATACCCACGCTCCCTGAGGGCGTGGCTCCATATCCCCTTCTCCTTCCTTCTGCCCCCAGCTCACCACTGTCTCTCTCCACATCCGCTGGACCAGCCATCTCATCATGTTGCCGTCCATTGCGTTCCCTAGTGCCCTCCTCCTGCTGGCCTCGCTCACCCCTGGAGCCGCCGTTGCATTCTCCCCATATCCCAAGGCCAGCTCCCGCTCCAGCGCAGTCGGCTCCTCCCATTGCTTCTTCCTGTGATCATATATGAGTCCTGGACCTGGTTCTCCTGCTGCCCATGCGTACCCTGCCGCTCCTGCATATGTCACCAGGGTGGGCAGCGCCCGCCGCTCCTGTCCTACCTGATTGCAGGGATAATGTCTGCTGTACCCCTTCCGGCACACCGGTGCTGGGGTCCGGCCTGGCTCAAGGATGTCCTGCACTTTCCTTCCGGGTGCCCTTCTCACCCCTTCTATCTCTTCCTGCAGCTTCGGTGCTGGGACTATGTTCTGCCAGTACATTCTCAGTCGGTGAGCAAGTGACCCCATTCTGGCCGCATCACTGCTCACCCCTTCTCCCAACTGCTCCTTGATCCTCTCCCGTACCAGCCTTATTGGCTCCCTGCTGTCCCCTGCTAAGTCCAAGTTTTCCACCAGGTATGCCACTCTGCCCTGCCTCTCTTGCAGCCATTCCAGTATGCAGAAGAGATCCTCCATCAGCTGTGTCCTCGGATCCCCCCCTCCTCTCCCTTTGCCCGCCCATGACACCCCTTGACACTCCCATCCTGCCACCACCAGATCCACCTGCCCCCAGCTGGCCACCTCCGCTTCTGTCAGTCGTGCCACATCATGACTGTCTCCCTTCATGGCTTACTGAACCACCCTCGCACTGAGGAGCTCTGGGAACTCCGCCTGCAGCTTCCATGCGTGATGCTCAGCCATCTTCCTCACTAGTGGCGCCTGCTCCACATACACCCACTTTTGCACCGCAATCCCACTCCTCACCACTGCTGCCAATCCCGCCCCAATCCCTCCAAACAGCTCCACCAAACGGATGGGCTGCTGCCAGTCACTTTGCTACCTCGGCTCATCCATCATCTTCATTCTGGGCACTCCCATGGTCCCGCCCATTCTCTTGTGGTCCCCCGCCTCTCCTGTCTCCACCTCCTGTCCCGCCATGGCCTGGTACGCTCTCTTGGGCTCTATCTTCACAAATCGTACTGGCAGCTCTCCTAGTGGCCCCTCTTTCTTCTAGTACCGCGTTCGGAATGCCACCCTTTCCGTCCACGTGCAGATGGTCATGCCCACCGCGAACACCAGCTCTGTACCCACTAACACGTCAAAATCCTCGGACTCCGAGATGCCACACTTCATTCGGATTTTGGTTTCGTGCTCCCCTCCTGGCAGTAGTGTCACCTCTATGGGTGCCCGAGAACAGGGCATCCACTTCGGCTCCCCCCCTTCTGCGGTCATCACCAACATCCCCCTTTTCACATGCCTTTCTGGAGCCAAGATCCCCAGCCTCTCAGCCATCCCCTTGCCCAGCATCACGCTCTGTGCTCCTGTGTCTATAATGGCAATCTTCACCTTCTCCCCTTCCACTTCCATCGCCCCTTCTTCTAGCAGCAGCACTGAGGTCTGGCACGCTAGTCTCTCCTGAGGGTGCCGTGCCGGCGGTGGAACCAACCCTGGATCCTCTGGTTTCTGCCCCTTATCCCGTGCCTTCCTGCTCTGCTCCTGCCTGCCGTCCTTCCCCCCGCTCCTCAGCCCCATCTCCTCTCGTCCTCTCCATGCCATGAGGGCGCACTGCACGTCCTGCTCTACCTCTTCTCCCTCCTCCTCTCTGGCGTACATCCCTGCCTCTGCCCCCCATCTCGGTCCCGTTGCCTGTAGCTGCGCCTGCAGCCTGTTGATCTGCCGCTGCAACTCCTCTGGGCTCCTCCTGGCTCCTCCTTCCCTCTGATAGCAATCCTTGGCCTCGTGCCCCTTCTTCTTGCACACCTCGCACCTGGCGGCATCAGGACATTCTCGCTTGCGGTGGCCCGGCTTTCCGCACCCATCACAGTTCTTGCAGTCTCTGCGGAGGTGTCCTGGCTGTCCGCATCGGTGGCAGCTCCTGGTCTCTGCCCGTGTCTCTCCTCGCTCCTCTGCCTTCCCTCGCTCCTCTGGTATCATTGCTGCCGCCCAGGTCGGCCTGCGGGTTCTCTCCAGCTGTCTAGGTAGGTATGCCTCATACTTCCTCTGTGCGAGCTCTACTCGTTCGGCTAGCTCGAACACCTCATCCAATCTTGCCTCCGCGCCCAGCTCATACACCTTCATCCGCAGCCCGCCTCCGAGCACCTCGTCCAGCCCCCCTAGGAACTTACTGATTAGGAGGCTGCTATCCGTGCATCTCACATCCTCTACTACGTTGATCAGCCGGTTATAGTATGCCAGCAGTGATTCAGTCCTTCCTCACTTGAATTCCTGGAATTCCCTTATCCTTTCCGCTGTGTGTCCTGGGAACTGCCGCTGCAACCGCTCCAAGAATGCTTCGGTGGGGTCTTCCCCGTACCTCCCTGCCCTCCACAGCAGCTCCTCCACCCTCATACGGTACAGTGTCTCGGCTTCCCCATCCAAGGTGTTGGGCAGGCTCAAGAAGAAGTCTACGGGGTCCATGCCATTCCTGTCACACCGATGCTTCACATTCCCCACTTGCATCAGATAGTTCTTGAGCGACGGCCCCTCCCGCTGATCGCCTGAGAATCTGGCTGGCACCTCCACCCTTGTCGCTGTGGCCGCACCCCCTCTTCCTTCGCCCCACGACTCACTTACCCCTCCCCGCTGTCTCCCATACCCCCCTTTTTGCCCCGCTCGTTCTAGGCCTTCTCTGGCCATTCGTGCTCGTTCCGCCCCTTGCGCCAAGCTGCCTGACTTGGCCCTGCTTTCCAACTGCTCTCCGCGCGTCTCCCTTGACTGGCCCCACAGACCCTCTTCCCTGCCCGCCCGCTCCCATCGCCGCGCCGACGAATAATGGCTCTGCTCCCATTCCTTGTGGTCGGCTTCACGCGGATGACGTCTCGCTGGTGGTGGCGACCATTCCTCCCTGCCCTTTCCCTGCTGCCGTGCGCCGGGCTGGGTGCGGTCTGCTTCTTCCCGCCTTCCTTCTCGCCAACGGCGCCGGTCGGGCGACCGCGACACCCCTCTGTGCCCTGTCCCCCACTGTTGCCGCTCGTGCGGTGAGCGTGATCCTTCTTCTCGTCGCCCCTCCCAGTGCCGCTGCGTCTCTGGCGAGCGATGTCCTCTCCCACGGCTTCCTTTAGGTGCCCACGGTGGCGCCGCCGAGCGAACCACATTCTCTTCCACTCCTCCCCGCTTTCCTGCCGTGCCGATCGGCCCTCCGCGGCGATTCTCGGGGCGAGCGCGAGCTTACGTCCCTCGTCTCCGCTCGCCGACGCGGAATTCCTGTCGTGCGTCTGTCCTCTGCACCGTTTCGTTCGCGCATTCCCCGCGACTGCATCGTGCGGGCCCCTCCCTCGCGAGTCCGAACTTCCTGCTGCAGCGGGTCGGGGGCGTATCGCCTTTCCAGACGCTCGAAGTCTGTGGCACGTGCCCCCCTCTCTCGCGCCTCTCCCTCTTCTTCTTCTGCTGCCGCTGCGTTGTTGGCGTGTTCCGCGCCGGGCGCGCGCTCTCCCTCCACGGCTCCGCTCGGCACGTGGGGCCCCACTGGCGCTAGATCGTTGCCCTCCTGCTGCGGGTCGCTGTCTTCCTGCTCGTCACCGTGTTCCCGCTCGCCGCCGTACTCCGGCTCGTCGCCGTGTTCCTTCTTGCCGCCGTACTCCGGCTCATCGCCGCGTTTCTGCTCGCCGTCGTACTCCTGCCCGTCCTTGCGCCCCTGCTCGTCGCCGTACTCCGGCTCGTCGTCGTGCGCCCGCCCGCCGTCGTACCTTTGCCTGTCATCGTACGCCGGCTCGTCGCCGTCCTCCTGCTCATCCTCCTCGTCACTTTCCTCCCGCGTCCGCTCAGCCCGCGAATCCTGCTCGACCTGGCGCACGTCAGAGTCTTCTCCCCGCACCTGCGAGAATCCCTCCCTCCCACGCCAGCGGCCTCGCTCATCACGTCGCCGGCCTCCCCCTTCTGGGGAGCGGAACACCCCTTCGTCGCGCGGGTGGCGGTGCTCGTCGCCGCGCAGGTGGAACGTGTTTCTCCGCCACGGCGCGCCGTTCGTCGGTGTGCTGAGTCTGCCGCCTCCCGTTACACCCTGCGCCGCCCTTCTCTCTCGGCTGGCCGGCACGACGGGGATTCTGTCTGCCCGGAAGGCCGGCCTTCGGGGCGACCTCTCTAGGGAACGCCCACGCTCCTGTGGGCGCTCATGCCGCGGCCCTTCCTCCTCTCGGCGAGTGAAGACCCGGCCCCAACGCAACTCATATTTATCCATGCTATGTGCCTACGCTTGTTTCCAAGTATGAACGGGATCTCTCCCTCACCCCTCTGGTTCCCTCCTGGTGGTGTATCACTGCGTGCTACGAGCTGAATGTGCTAACTTCCACTAATATGAGAGAATACTTGGAAACAAGCATCGAGTGAGTGACTGTGCGTGACTTTACCCATCCCTGCTCCATGCTGCACATTTCCCAATGTGCGGCTCGGGTAGGGATTTGGTTTCCTATTTCGCCACTCGGTGCTTTCCCCCGTGACTCCAACCGTCCCTTTTCTGTTTCCCCCTCTTTTGCCTATTGCAACCGTTACTGTACTACATTCCGTGTCCTATGCTAATGTAACTATATATGCATTTAAGTGCATATATCCTAATATGCTATTCTGCTCCCTTCACCCTTATTCTACTGTTATTGTATCTGCATAAAGTGCATATGCGGTGACAGACTTAGCGGTAAGGAAGGTTTCAGGAAAGATTTGGGTACCGAATTACGCCCCGCTACGGCAGATCCTATTGGAGGAGTTTCACGACGTACCATACGCGGGACATTACGGGAGCAAAAAGACGTTAGCGGGAGTAGCAAAGTATTACTACTGGCCCCAAATGGTAGCAGACGTGCGGCAGTTCGTCACCTCATGCGACACGTGCCAGCGGATGAAGAGTAGCAAGCAGAAAAAAGTAGGGTTACTTCAGCCTCTATCCGTACCGGAGCAGCCATGGCAGGTCGTTAGCCTCGACTTCATCACGGGACTTCCTTCGACCTCACGAGGGCATGACACCATCTTCGTAGTGATCGATAAGTTCTCCAAAATGGGTCACTTCATTCCGACCAACGCCACCACTACAGCTGAAGTAACTGCTCGCCTCTTCTTCGACCGCATCATCACCATCTACGGCATCCCCGCTACACTCATCTCACACAGAGACCCCAAATTCACGAGTAAGTTCTGGAAGGAGCTCATGGGACTGTTGGGGACTAAGCTTGCAATGTCTTCAACATACCATCCCCAGACTGACGGACAGACGGAGCGACTCAATCAGGTGGTAGAACAGTTACTGCGCACAGCTTGCAAAAACGACATCAGCCACTGGGACACACAGTTACCGACCCTAGAGTTCGCTTACAACAACGCCTCGCATGTGGCCACAGGGAAAACACCTTTCTTCCTGTGTTACGGACGGGAACCACTCACTCCACAGCAGCCAACCACACCGGCACACGTCCAAGCCGCACATGACTTCGTCACCACCATGCAGCAGCTATGGGAGAAGACTCAGCGACGACTCACCACGATGCAGACCTCCCAGAAGCAGTATGCCGATCGTCAGCGACGTGATCACTCAGTAGCAGTCGGAGATCAGGTGGAACTTGAACCTATCTCACCTACCATCCAAACTCCGGCCTCGCTTCTGTGGTCCTTTTCTCGTGGAGGCACAGGTGCCACCAGTTACATTCCGCTTGCGCTTACGAGATACATGAAAGCTTCACAACGCTTTCCATGTTCGGCTACTGAAGCCCTACAAGGACCCCAACCAACAGTTCCAGGGACGGCAACTACCGCCACCTCCACATGTACTTATACAGGCCAAAACAGAGTACGAGATCGAGCGATTTCTCACTCATCGGCGCCGTGGCGGCAAGACCCTCGAGTTCCTGATCCGCTGGAAAGGATACGACCCCACTGAGGACAGTTGGGTTGCAGAAGCTGATATGGGCAATGCACGCCGTGCTCTCAAGGACTATCTTGTAAAGAAGGGTGTATCTCACGCCACCCAGCTTTGAGAGGGGGACGTGTGAGAGTATGTCGGCTTATGCCTGTGAGAATAAGAACGAGGAATGATTGCATTCAGCAGCATGAGAAGTAGAAGTAGGAAACCCTAAAGTGTTGTACCCCATATGAACTACCCCACTACAGCCTATACAGACTATAGCATATAAGTTTGACACACCCCCATAGGCAAAGTGGGGGAGAACAAGAAGTCACAAGACCAGTCAACAGAAGCAAAGCAAGCTCAGGGTGGATCACAACGTCACCACACATTCTAAGCACCAGTTCAAGGGCACAAGGCCAGTTCACATGCAGGATTATAAAGCAAGGTGAACAAGCAAGACAGTGATCTCAACCTAGCAAGGGTAAGCATGCAGGTGCAGGTATATATAGATCACAGTACAAACAAAGTCAAAAGGTAAGCAAATGAGGCCCGGTAGGCATAAAACCTAGCATAGTACAGAAACGCTGATGATCACAAGGCTGAAGTGCCTTGGTAAAGATATCAGCAGTGTTGGCCCGAGAGGCCACGTAAGCAAGACAAAGCTGACCACGCTGCTGCAACTCTCGAGCAAGGAAGTAGCGCAGAGCAATGTGCTTCGTTCTGTGCTCCAGTCTGTGCTCCTGACACAAGGCCAGCATGGCCTTGTTGTCGACGTACAGAACTGGAGGAGAATGAGGCGCCTCTCCCAAGTCGGTCAGCAGGTAGGTGAGCCAGCGTAACTCTTGTGCAGCCATGGCCCCAGTGTAGATCTCAGCCTCACAACTGGAGCCGAGAACAGAAGACGAGCGGGTAGACCGCCACAAAACAGAGCCGGAACCAAGGCTGAAGGTGTAACCCCGTGACGATTGCTGCGTAGCCAAGTCCTCGACCCAAGAAGGGTCTGCGTGACCAGTGAGGACAACTCGAGCCCGTCCTCCAAGCACGAGCCACATGCCCGACGTACTGCACAGGTAGCGCAACACCCTCTTAGCTGCAGCCATGAGCTCTGGTCGGTGTCTCCCAGGAGCAACATAGCGTGCCAAGATGCTAAGAGGGTATGCCAGGTCAGGTCGAGTGCAGATCATCAGGTTCATGAGGCAACCAACAAGCTCTGGGTACGGGCCACTTGGCTCTATGGACTCATCCGAAGGCAGAGCTGAGAGCGAGTGGCGAGTAGACGGAGGAGTGGCCTGAGGCAAGGAGTACGTGAAGTCAAAGCGCTGAAGGACCTGTTGCACCATGTGTGACTGAATCAATGTAATGGTGCGCCGTGCTCTGACCCGGGTGATCTGCAAGCCAAGATAGCTGCGCAGTTTACCCAGGTCTATGCACGTGTGTCTCCTCTGCAGCTCCGACTTCACGTGGGCGAGTCCCTCAGTATCAGCAGTAGCAAATACCAAGTCGTCGACGTACACGAGGATGTAGAACGGCGGCAGCGAAGTGTCGGTGCGCAGAAACAGCGACGGGTCAGCAGTGGAAGGAGCGAACCCAAGAGCCGCAAGCGTAGTCCTTAGTGTGTCGTGCCACTCATGGGGCGCCTGGCGGAGACCGTAGACTGGCCGCCGGAGGCTCCATTGGGTACCAGGAGGAAACGACCCAGTGAAGCCAGGTGGGCGGCGCAGCCAGATCTCCTCGTGCAGGCTGCCCTGCAGGAAAGCAGTGCTGAAGTCAAGAGAGTGAAGCTCGTAGTCACGCTGAGCAGCGACGTGCAGCAGAACCCGAAGAGTGGTCATCTTCGGGGTCGGGGAGAAGGTCTGGAAGAAGTCAACTCCCTGTCGCTAACTGAAGCCTCGAGCAACGTAACGCGCCTTGAAGACAGGCGGAGAACCCTGCGGCCGCTTCACCCTGAAAATCCACATGCCACTGACGATGTTCGCCCAGGAGGGGGAACCTCGTCGACGTAGGTGCCTGTGGACTTCCAGGATGCCATCTCTGCGTCCATGGCTGACTGCCACTGAGAGGAGTAGGGACCCTCTATCGCCTCTGCGTAAGAGCGCGGGGTCGGGACGTCTGGTGCATCCGGGTCTCCCTCAGGTGCAATTAGCATGGACACGAGATGAGGTACAGCAGCTGCAAAGCACTCAAAATCCTCCTGTCTGTCCTCAAAGACGTCCGTGCCAAGAGCACACTCACCCCCGACGGACGGAGGACAGACAGACTCAGACTCAGCAACAAGACTCGCGGCGTAGTCTAGACGACAGTGAGCAGCAAAGTCGACAAGCTCAGCAACTAAGGCAGACGCAGCAGTGGACTCAAAGGAAGGGTCAGTGACAACACTGGCCAGGAGACGCGTGACAATAGGACTAGCAGCACAAAGGGAGTCAGACTCCGGGTCAGCAAGGGCAGGAAGAGAGGACGCAGGAGGAGACAGCAGAGGGACACGCTGCAGAGCAGTAGAAGGGCGCAAAGCCATCCAGTGCGTGCCAGGGACAGGAGGAGGACGCTGCACAAACAGGCGACGCAGGACAAGACGCAGGCTCACGACGCTCAGCAAGACCTCCGGTCCGACCAGTGTAAGGAGAAGGAGCAGGCAGTGGGGAGGCGAGCTGTAACTGTGACTGCGACTGGACAGGCGGTGGACACTCTAAGGAAGGAGCGGGACCAGTTGAAGGCGGGAGACCAAGAACCTGCTAAAGGAGCGGAACGTAGTACGGCCGCGGCCGCGCAGCGCCTCCAGAACCAGCAGGGACAGCACCAGCACCCCCAGCGAGAGCTCCAACTTTAGCAGCACCACCAGCTCCAGCAGCACCTCCACCTGCTCCAGTAGCGCCAACTGTCAGAATGTTATCATTGTCTAGCCTGCAGTGGGGTACTCTATAGCGAGTACAACCCAATTAGGGTTTCCTATATGTATGCCAACTGCTGCTAGTGCAAACCCCTCCTTTGTTCATTTCTCCTTCTGACTGCTACTTCTGACATGCTATCAGAGCAGGTCGACCCTCCTGGGTCGATCCTGTGGGTGGGCCCACCACCTCATGCTTCCGCTGCTGTACTACTTGTCGCGCGCCTCGGTCGCGCGACGCCTTCTTCCTGCCGCCGAGGCGTGCGGCGGTTTCCTACCGTGGGGGACTCGCGCGCGCCCCCGCCCTGTCCGTCGCGGCGCCCTGGGGGACACGCGCGCTGCCCCCGCTGCCCCGTCGGTGGTCGTGTCGCCCCGCCACCCCGTCGCGCCGCCCTGGAGAGCCGCGTGCGACCCCCCGCTGCCCCGTCGACCCTCGCGTCGACCCGCTGGACCCGCGCGCGGCATTCCGTCGACCGTCGCGTCGCCTCCGGGGACCCGCGCGCGACCCCCGTCGACCCTCGCGTCGCCCCCCGGGACCCGCGAGCCGCCCCTGGAGCCGTGCGCGACCCCCCCGCTGCCCCGTCGCGGCGCCTTGCAGGGCCGTGCGCGGCCCCTCGCTGCCCCATGGTGGCGCCCTGGGGGCCACGCGCCTCCCCCCCTCGCCGTCCCCTGCGCTCCTACCCCGTGCCACACGTTTTAGGGTTTGGGGGTGGGGAGTGTGGGGGTGGCGGTTGTGGGGGTGCCGGTTGTGTGCCCCGTCCCCTACTCCTCCTCCTCCGTCTCCCGCTGCTGCAGCTGCCGCTCAGGGGGGTGGGTGTGTGGGAGCCGAAGGAGTGGTGCTAGGGGGGTGACGTGGGAGTGGAGCTAGGGGTGCAGCAGGGGGTGTGTGGAAAGGAGTTGGGACTGTTTGGGGAGGCTGAGAGGAGGCCGCCGTCGTGTCGTGTGCAGCGCCTGTAGTCCGGAGCCCTCGCGCTCTCGGTAGCCCAGAGAGCCTTGCTGTGCCA